AGGAGACAACAAGAAGACTTGAGAGGAAGGTGTTCGAGATTGCGTGGACATTGCGTGGAAATGGCGGACGAAGGTGAGTTGATTTTTTTTATTTTTTTTTTTTGTTTTTTTTTTTGCAGGGGAAAGGAGAAGGGGGGAGGATGGACCTAGCGGAAAGAAAGAGGAGGGAAGTCGGGATAGAGAATGAGGGAGGAGGGACAGGGGAGGTCGGAAGCGATGGACGGGAAGGGGGAGAGGTCAGGATGGGAGAGAAGGGGAAAGGAGGAATAGGGGAGGTCGGCGAGACACGTTGGGACCACGCCGGGAGGGGTTGAGGAGGGAGAAGTCGGGATGGGAATCGCGAGAGGTAGGGATGGGAGTCAGGGATGGAGGGAGAAGTAAGCGAAGGAAGGAAAGGGGGGAGAGGTCGGGATGGGGAGGGGGAGAGTTCGGGATGGGAGTCGGGAGGAGGGAGGGAGTCGAGATAGAGAAGGGCGAAGGAGGGATAGGGAGGTCGGCGACGGAAGGGGAGGAGGGAGAGGTCGGGATGGGAGATAAGTTGGGACCATGCCGGGATAGAGGAGGGGGTATGGTGGTTGGGATAGGGGAAAGGGAAAGGCGATGAAGGGAAAGGTCGGCGAAGGAAGGAAGGTTGGGATGTGAGTCGGGATACGGGAAAGAGAGAGGTGATGGAGGGAGAGGTAGGCGAAGGAAAGAAAAGGGGGAGAGGTCGGGATGGGGAGGGGAAGAGGTCGGGATAGGGGAGAGGTAGGAGAGGGAGGAGAGGTCGGGCTGGGAGACAGGTTGAGACCATGCCGAAAGGGGTTGGGATAGGGAAGAGAGAGGCGATGGAGGGAGGGGTCAGCGAAGGGAGAGGTCGGGATGGGAGTCAGGATACGGAAGAGAGAAAGGCGATAGAGGGAGAGGTAAGCGAAGGAAGCAAAGGGGGGAGAGGTCAGGATGGGCAGGGGGAGAGGTCGGGATGGGAGTCGGGAGGAGGGAGCGGGAGGGAGAAGGGATCTAGCGAGGGGGAGACGTTGGGATCGGAGTCGGTATGGAGGAGGAGGGTAGGAAAGAAGGAAAGGGGAGAGGGAGAGGCGATGGAGGGAGAGGTCGACGAAGGAAGGGAAGGAGGGAGAAGTCGGGATGGAAGTCGGGAGAGGTCGGGATGGGAGTTGGGGATGGAGGGAGAAGTAAGCGAAGGAAGGAAAGGGGGGAGAGGTCGGGATGGGAGTCGGGAGGAGAAAGGTCGGGATGGACGGATAGGGGAGGTCGGAGGTGATGGATGGGAAGGGGGAGAGGTCGGGATGGGAGTTGGGATAGAGAAGGGCGAAGGAGGGATAGGGAAGGTCGGCGACGGAAGGGGAGGAGGTAGAGGTCGGGATGGGAGATAAGTTGGGACCATGCCGGGATAGAGGAGGGGGGATGGTGGTTGGAATAGGGGAGAGGGAGAGGTGATGAAGGGAAAGGTCGGCGAAGGAAGGGAGGTCGGGATGTCAGTCGGGATGTCAGTCGGGATACGGTAGAGAGAGAGAGGTGATGGAGGGAGAGGTAGGCAAAGGAAAGAGAGGGGGGAGAGGTCGGGATGGGGAGGGGGAGAGGTCGAGATGGGAGTCGGGAAGGGGAACGACGTCAGAAAGGAGGAGGAGGGAAGAGGGATCTCTAGATGGAGGGGTCGGGATAGGGGAAGTGGGGAGACGTTGGGATGGGAATCGGGATAGAGGAGGAGGGGAGGAGGGGGCTGGGATAGGACAGAGAGAGAGGTGATGAAGGGAGTGGTCGGCGAAGGAAGGAAAGGAGGGAGAAATCGGGATAGGAGTTGGGAGAAGTCGGGATGAGGGAGGGGGAGGGGGAAGGGATCTAGCGGGGGGGAGACGTTGGGATCAGAGTCGGAATAGAGGAGGAGGGCAGGAAAGAAGGAAAGGGGAGAAGGAGGGAGAGGTCGATGAGGGAAGGGAAGGAGGAAGAAGTTGGGATGGGAGTTGGGAGAGGTAGGGAGAAGTAAGCGAGGAAAGGGGGAAGAGGTCGGGATGGGGAGGGGGAGAGGTCGGGATGGGAGTTGGGAGGAGAAAGGTCACGATGGACTGATAGAGGAGGTCGGAGGCGATGGATGGGAAGGGGGAGAGATCGGGATGGGAGTCGGGATATGGTCGGGATGGGGAGGGGGAGAGGCCGGGATGGGAGTCGGGAGGAGGGAGGGATGGAAGTCGGGACACGGGAAAGGAGGGAGAGGTCGGGATGGGGAGGGGAAGTGGTCGGGATCGGAGTAGGAGAAGGGCGTCGGAAAAGGGTTTTTTTTTTTTTGCCGCGCACACCAGTGTGCCACGTGGCACCCCACGGAAAGGAGGAGGAAAGAAGAGGAGAGGGAACGACGGAAAGGAGGAGGAGGGAGGAGGGATCTATGGAGCGAGAGGTCGGGATAGAGGAGGGAGGAGGGATCTAGCACGAAGAAAGTCGGGAGAGGTCAGGATGGGAGTCGGGAATGGAGAGAGAAGTATGCGAAGGAAGGAAAGGGGGAAGAGGTCGGGATGGGGAGGGGGAGAGGTCGGGATGGGAGTCGGGAGGAGAAAGGTCGCGATGGACCGATAGAGGAGG